TGTTAGTGATTGTTTTGGTTTTGATGCTGACGATGATGAGAGATTGAAGCTTGCTTCTCATATCAGGACATTCGAGTGTCAGGGTTCGATTTTTGTTGATTTAAGAGGGATGGAGGAACTTGTGGCTTGTTATGCAATGTTACAGACTTTCTTGTTGTAGTGATTTTATGATCACATTTTTGTAGCAAAAGTTGTCAGATGACAAACAGAAGTTATATGTCATTGACGTTTATTATTAAGGTAGTGGTGATGAACAATATATGATAAGAAGAAACAAAACTCTCCTGCCTTCAATTCTTTTCTTTTTTTCTTCTCAACAAGTCTTCCACAAATTTGAATTTCCATCATAACCTTAATTGTTTTTTCACAATTTTAAAACGACTTTGACAATGACTTGATCTATCATGAAATTAGTATTGGGGAACCATCTCTGATATTCCCAACTTTTAATTACCTTTAACTACCAGCGGTCAAAGTATTAAATCATAAATTCTATTGGGATAAAAAAATAAAATAAATAGCAAGTGCATAGAATTCAATCACAGAATCCAAGCATAACATTTTCACATGAGGTGAGACTCAATAAATGTGTAGGTCTGACCCCATATGAAATGGTTGTGTTTGATTCTGTTATTGAATTTTGTGCACATAGAAGACCTGAATGTACAAGAGTATAACGACTAAAAACTAATTGTCCTTGGTGAGCCAAGTCAAAAACAAATTTGGTTTGGTATTTTGAAGTCAAAACAATATGTAGACAGTAAATTTACTACTCTAATGCTAGTACATATGATCTATGTTGTTGGGATCTATATCGGGAAATTTAAGTGTCAGGGTTCTATATTTTCCGATTTAAAAGAAATTAGGAAACAAGTTGATGGAGAACTCAATGTTAATGATCCAATGTTACAAGTTTCCTTGTGGAAATTATGTTTTGAAGTAAATATCGGACAAGGAAAAGTTATCACATTGATGTTTGTTATTAAGGTTGCGGTGATGAACATTATATGATGAGAAAATAGAATTGTCATAATATTACTGTCCTCGTGTGTTTGTGTTCTCCTATTGAACTCACATTATATGTTTTGTGTTTTGCTTGTAAGTTGTAATTTTCACATCTTTCATGATTTATGAATTCTAATGATGTGACTGTTTTTGTTTGAGAAGTGGAGGCGTTCATCATCTATTTTAACAATTAAGTAAATACGAAATGGCAAATTTGTCAAATAAAAAAGCGGAAAATTACACCATAGTGGATGTCAGATTTTATTTTTTTTTTAAACAAAAAAGTAGGTTACATTATAAATATTAATTATTATAATTATAATTTTTTTCATTAATGTGTAATAATTTTTAAAAAACCATCTTAAAAGGCAATTTTTCCAATAAAAAGTGATGAGATTTATAGTGAGAATCTGTTTGGTTTAGATTTCAAAACATAGTTTCACCATTGATTTGAGTGTGGTATTTGGTTGTAACTTTTAAATCATAATTTTACACCAATTTCTCAAAACTCATTTCAAACTATAATCATTACTTTTCAAAACTCATAACCAAACACACAATTCAAAACTCAAAAACAACTGTTTGCTAGTTATATATTAAAAATTTATCTAAATTATTTTTTTAAATACAAAATAAATAAAATAAAATGGCACGTATATGTCATCTTTTATCTATTATTATTTTTTAAACAAGATGATAAGAATTACAATAAAATTTTTTAACTAATTGGGAAATGACAATTTATTAACTTTTATTTTCGCACCTTGCGATCCAACAATTAGGGATGTAATTAGTTCAGTACAATCGGTACTTAGATAAACTTTTTAATTGAATTGGTAATGTCGATTTTATTAATTGAGCACCGATATAGCTGCTTCTAGCATTAAATTGTACTAATGCATAAAAGCTTTGGTTCGGTGTTTAGGGGCTGTTTTAGTGATTATAGCTTATTTTAATTTGGGTGTCTGTACCAGACTGTTTGATATAACTTTTGCTTATAGCTTATTAGGCAGAAATAACTTGAATAAGTTGAAAAAAACTGATTATTTGAAAGCTGGGGAAGAGGTACTTTTAGCTTCTACTTTCTGATTATCAGCTTTTAATTAAAGAAAAACTCCACCAAACATCGATTTAGGATCTTTTAAAATTTAGCCACTTTTTAAAGCTGTAATATGTCACTAATTTACATAAATCAAGACCATATTTGTAATTTATTATTAGGTCTTTCTGTATCTTGTGACTTCTTCATTAAGAGTTGAGGAATGTATTTTCTTCATAATTGGAGTGAATGAGTGTTACCAATATCATTTTCCTTTCTACACTCCGACATGTAAGGGTTTTATAGATTAAAATTTTTCGTCTTTAAAATTGAAAATAATTTTAGTAATATACAAATAAACTTTGTATGAATATACTAGCCAATTAAAATAAAAACAATAATAATTGGCTACTTCACCATATGTAAAAGTGCTCCTCATAAAACTCAGGGAGCCTTATCTCCTCTGTTATTCCATTCCATTAATAAACTCTTAAAAGGAGTGTAATCCTATTAACTGCATTTGGATGAAATTTAAGGACATTAATTGAATTCATTTTTCAATTTCAAATATCCTTTGAATTTTCCTTGATTACTGGAAAAGATGCACAAGAGAAGAGAGTCTGACTTTTTGTATTCTCTTCTCTCTCTCTTAATTTCCCCCCTATATATATATGTACACACACACATTAGCTTTGCTATAGTGTGATCAAAATCAGAGCATTTGTCAACCCATTTGCAAGTATATTTATAGGTGCTGAAAAAATATATCCAGGCATGTGCTCATGTGAATTCTCCACATAATTGCATGAAACTGTTATTCAATTTATTTTATTTTTATAGAGTTTATTATTGAATATTTAAACTTGTACTATTCTATATTTTGCATTGGTGTAGAAGATGGAAGGAAGAAAATGGGAGGAGATGAATATGGATTGCTTGGTGAATGTGTTTGGGAGAGTGGGAATTGAATCACTTCTACTGGATGTTCCATTTGTGTGCAAGTCATGGTACAAAGCCACTCTCAGTCCTCTTTGCTGGCAAACTTTGGTCTTTCCCAGCATGTCCCATTTTGACTCCTTCACTCATATAGTACTAATGTGGGTATATGAAACAAAGTGTAAGGAAGTTGAATATCAAGTGTTCACTCCTCTCCATGTCACTAGATTCGTTAAGTTTGTAGTCAACCGTAGTTGCCGATCTGCCACTACCATAGTTCTTCCCAGTTACCACCTCACAGAAGATGCACTTGAATATGTTGCTCAAGAGTAAGTCATCAAAACTATTATTCATTTTGGTTTTCTATCAGTTAATTTTTTTAGATGGGTTGTTGATCAATAAGTTAACGGTACGTATTTAACTGCTAGTATCGCCTTATTTGATAATTAAAATATTTGTATGTATTTTGCTCGTTTATGGACAGTTTTATCACACGTGACATGACTTGAGAATATATGAATATTAAAGTTAAATCTTTTTTTTTAATTTTTTTTTTATCACTTTAATTGGAAAGGTGTTTTTTTTTTTTTTTTTTTTTTTTTGGTGGAAGAATTTTGGCTTATGTGCTTTGGTTAGTTTTTTAGATCCTATGTTCGTTGAAGGGATTAGTATTGTTGATACACAATGCCGCTCCCTGCAACTGTTATGAAAACATGTTTGCGAGACGTGATGTTGAATGTTATAAAAAACGTAAGTGAAGTCCTTCCTATCGCCAATTGGTTTTAGGAAAGAGGGTGGAATTCGGTCTAACAAGTAGTATTAGAGCAAAGTTGTCATTGGTTTGAGTTGCAGGAAGCATTGTGAGTGAGAATACACAATGTCACTCCCTGCGATTGCTCTAAAAACAGGCTCGCGAGACGCAATATTGAATGTCATAATAGACATAAGTGAAGCCCTTCTTATCACCAAGTAGTTTTAGGAAAAAGGGTGGAACTTGGTCTGACAAGTATTTTTCATTAGATTGAGACTTAAAATTAATTTTTTATAATAGCATTCTCTTGTTTATTTATTAATTTAAATTATTGAATATTTTCACCTAGGTGCCCTAACATAAGGACTTTGATGGTGCCTAATGAATTCCCTGTGTGTGGTCTACCCATACCTCATCGTCCGATTTTTGCTCATTTTTGCAAGATCCCAAACCTTGTGAGCAACTGGAAAAATTTAAAGCATTTAAGTCTTGCAGTAAGCTTGAGATTGAAAGAACTCTTCACCGAAATTAGTGTTCACTGCAAGAACTTTGAATCATTGGCCATTCCAGATGCCTTTATTAGTAAAGATGTAGTGTTGGCCATTGTCAACCTTTTGCCAAACATAAAGTACTTAGATATGAGGAAAGCATCCATTCAAAAGGAACATCTGGTGAAGATTTTGCATGGCTGCAAAGAACTTGTGCATTTTGATGTTAGTGATTGTTTTGGTTTTGATGCTGAAGACGATGAGATATTGAAGCTTGCTTCTCATATCAGGACATTCGAGTGCCAGGGTTCGATTTTTGTTGATTCAAAAGTGATGGAGGAACTTGTGGCTTATCTTGAAATGTCACAACATTTCTTGTTGTAGTGATTTTATGATGATGACATTTTTGTAGCAAAAGTTGTTGGATGACCAACAGAAGTTATATCTCATTGATGTTTATTATTAAGGTAGCGGTGATATATAAGAAACAAAACTCTCCTGCCTTCAATTTTTTTTCTTGAAGTCTTCTATGAATTTAAATTTCAAACACAACCTGTTATTTCACAATTTTAAAATGATTTTGACAAGGTCTTGATCTATCATGAAATTACCAACTTTTAAGTACCCTTAACTACCAGCAGTCAAAGTATTAAATCATAAATTCTGTTGGGATTAAAAAAAAAAAGTAAAGTGTATAGAATCCAATCACAGAACCCGAGCACAACATTTTCACATGAGGTGAGACTCAATAAATGTGTAGGTCTGACTCCATATAAAATGATTGTGTTTGATTCTGTTATTGAATTTTGTGCACATAAAAGAATTGAATGTACAAGAGTATAATGACTAAAAACTACCTGCCCTTGGTGAGCCAAGTCAGAAACAAATTTGGTTTGGTATTTTGAAGTCAAAACAATATGTAGACAGTAAATTTACTACTCTAATGCTAGTACATATGATCTGTATTGTTGGGATTTAATTATCCACTTCAATTAAAAAATCAATAACAACGAACTCTGCTTAATATTCTCACTAATCACCCATAAAGATGGGGGCAAAACAGAACCAAAATGGCAAGCACCTGGTGTGTAATTAAACAAGATATATATATCATTCAAGCTTCTTGCAATCCTTGTCCTCCAAATACAGGCTCAAGCCGGTAGCTCTAGCTTCACATTGTTCTTCCAGCTGCCAACCATTACAATGGAGCGAGTCAAATTTTCATACAAAAATCCAAGTAGTTGAATTTATTTCTGAAAATATTCAAACATTTTTACCTTTGGAAGTAATAATAGAAGAAGTCGGCATAAAGCAATGTCTGAACAAGCCCTGATATCCAAGCTGCAATAGCAAAGCCATTTAGTGCAAAACATTGTTGGTATTGATATGCACAATAAAAGCACTATAATGTGTTGTTTTCACACTAGTGTTGAGAGAGAGAGAGAGGGAGAGAGAGTGTGTCATACTTATCCAATGGACATAGTGAGGCTCAGTGAAGTAGCGATAAATCCAGTTTAAAATGTACAATGATCGGTATGCCCTGTAGTATGGAAAGCAGAAGAATGTGAATATCTATCTCATGTTCAACTAGTAACTTTCCAAAGGCCTGTATTACATGAACCCTTCCAAATGCATAAACAGCAGTGTCAAACAAAAAACACTGGGGAAAAGGGTATGTAGAAATGTGTCCAAGTATGTCTAATACAAGATAAAACTACCTTTGCCACATTTGCAACATGTTTGCTTCAAAATGAGTTGAGTTCCCATTCTTATCCCTATGTATTTCTTAAACATCATATTATCCTAGTGAACAAAAGATGAATACTAGGAAAAATACTAAGAAAACACTAAGAAGCACAAACACAGATGGCACTAACACGCTGACACATAAATTTTTAAGGGAAATTACAAAAAAAAAAAAAAAAATCCCAGAGTTTAAGCTTGCTAATGAATTAAACGTTACCTTCTTAATTTTGTCAAAAAAAAAAAAAAAAAAAAAAAAATCCCAGAGTTTAAGCTTGCTAATGAATTAAACGTTACCTTCTTAATTTTGTCAATTCAGGCCTTGAGATCAATCTTAACCCTCTGTCTGTTTCAGTTAAGTTGGGCTAACAGAAAAAGATTTTTCAGCACACATGGCATAATTTTATTCGCTCTTTTAATTTTATATTAATCAGAACTTTGATTTGGACCAGACCAAACCACAACTAGCATTTATCAACCATCAAATAAATAAGGACCACTAATCATCAAGATTACCGTGCACTTAGCTATATGTTCAGACCACCAACACTCAACCTTTCATCATTTCTGTACACTGCACCAGCAACCCCGTTCCTTCATCATCGTCTTCGCTATCCCTCCGTTTCTCATCTCCTTTCCTCACAGCCCTGTTCTTCTCCCTTCTCCTTCCCCTTTCCCTTCTCAATACCCATCGCCTTTCCCTCTTTCCCCACTTCTGGCCATCATCTCTCTTCTCTCTCCACTCACACGCCGCTGATGGATCGATTCCAGCACCTGAGATTGATGCAATCTACGGAATCAATTCTCTCTCTCTCTCTCTCTCTATATATATATATGTTTCATGGGATTGACGGGATTGATTTTGGCGCCGGATTATTGATTAATTCTAACTCACACTCTCTTTTTGATTTTGTCGTGCTTGCACAGAGATGCTGGGGACGACGAATTTGAGGAAGGGTTGGTGGGAGCGACAAATCTGATGGAGGCTGTGGAGAAGGCGACGGATCTAAGGAAAAGGAGGGCAAGGTGAAGCATAGGGTGCCGAATCTGAGTGAGGTGATGGCAAGGGAGGGTGGGGCTTGGTAGATCTAAGAGGTGTGGTGGTAAGGGAGGATGAGGAGTGGCGACCTGAGGGAGCAAGGAAAATGGGTGCTGGTGACAGGGCACGCAAAACCCTTCTCCGTTAGCGGGGTGAAGCATAGGGTGCCGAATTTGAGTGAGGTGATGGCAAGGGAGGGTGGGGCTTGGTAGATCTGAGAGGTGTGGTGGTAAGGGAGGATGAGGAGTGGCGACCTGAGGGAGCAAGGAAAATGGGTGCTGGTGACAGGGCACGAAAAACCCTTCTCTGTTACTTTTACATAGACGGAGATGGATGGAGAAGCCACATTGAAACATAGATGGAACTCCACGGTTTAATTTGTCGAAATTGAAACTTTGGGATTTAAAGTGTAAAGCGCGTGTAACCTTAGGATTTGTTTTGTAATTAACCCAATTTTTAAAAAATGTAAGACACGACATGTGGGGGACACGTGGAGAATATATAATTTGATATAGTTATTATATGTGATATTATATGAATATTTGAGTCAAATATAATAATTTTAAAGTCTAAAGGAGGAAAATAGATATAAATTTACATTGCTTTTTGTTTTATCATTTGACTCTAAGTAACTGGTACTGTGCTTCATGTGTGTCTAAGTGTTGGGAAGTATCCCACGAGTGTTGTGTTGTTTCGTTGTCAGAAACAACACGTTACCTTCTTAAAAGTGTCCATGGTTGTTAGGAAACATATAATATTTAGCCATGTTCCAGTGTACTTAAGTTTGGAAATTAGATGAATCCAATGCTCACACCCAAACTGGCACTTGATACATGTACTAGAGTCCAATCTCCATAATAACCATCAACTGAGATGTGTTCAATTCACTAAAGCTAGAAAATTAATCCCATTCACGAACTTTTGTAGGCAACTTAACAGAATTCCGACAACGAGATGATATATACACTCTGATCCACACTCGACTACTCTTAACTCTGCATATTTCTAACTCAACATATTATTCCACAAACAAATATCCTCAAGAAAACCCCCATAACCTTCGGCTATAAGCTCTTGATCTGCTAAAGTTAGGGAATTAATCCCACAAACCATCTATCTTGGGCAACTAATGGACGACACTTAAATGTGTCCCTTGTTAGCAAGCACTAAGTAGCACATGCATGGACACGTGATACGACTGCCAAAGCTGGAATTTTCAAAAAATACAAGATACAATACACTTGGGACTCATTAAAAAATTATATTTTTTTATAAATTTATTATATGTCAAATATATAAAATAGTTTTATTAAAGGTAATTAAAAAAAGGGATAATTGGCAATAAGTCCTAACTTTCTCATGAATTTCCATGGACTCCTGTTAACACATGAATCAACACTCTATGGAAATTTTGTGGGAAAAATAGGACTTATCGGATATTTTCTCAAAAAAACAAAAAGCAACATAATAAGAAATTCTATTTGCACACCGTACAAAATCTCAGTACATACACCATTTATGTTGTTCAAATACAAACTTCCGAACAAAAGTTGAATGTTCGAACACACACTTTAACGGAATGTATATTTGAACAATTTATTTTTGTTCAAAAGTTTACATCTGAATATTTGAATTTTGTTCGAAAGTTTATATCCGAACAACACAAATAGTGTAGTGAGATTTTATGTGGTGCGCAAATAAAATTACCCCAACATAACATTGATTAAAATAAGAAAGCCCTATATTCCATAATTTCAACATCAAGATATCATTAATGTAGCAATTGCATTCAAAAAATCCAAAAAAATTATAAAAAATTGAAATATACATGATATATTCATCTTATAAATGTTTCAAAGCATATTTAGAATGCACAAGTTGCATTACTATGAAGACATTGAAGAGATCCATCACATAGTCGTGTTTGAAGGGTTTAAGAAGTGTCACCGAAGTGTTTGAGAAGTATCAATAAAGTATTTGATATAATGAATTAAATTTTTTAATTAAGATACATAGAAGAATTTTTGGACGCAGATGTGAAGTGTCCACAGATTGTCATGTCTGACGCGGATTTTTGATGCAACACACCTCCTCCATACAACTGTAGCGCTTCTCAGACTAAATACACCACCAGGTAAAGAGGATAAAAATGAAATAAAAAGGAAAAAAGAAGTGGGGTGAAAAGGCTCCTAGAAGCTCTTACAATTCCATGTCTGTGATGATTGGCATTCTAAAAAGTAAAAAGAAAAATTCTACAGTTTGGCCCCACTAATGAAGCTCCTAATAATCTATACCACAGACTTGCTTTCATTAGCATAAGGGTCGCAAGAATGTACAAATTTTATGATTCCTCTAGAGTTTGAAGAATCATTTTTTGAGCTTATTGTTACACACCAGCAGGATGTGCCCCTGTCATACTATCAAGATGGAGGCAATGCACACATCAAAGAACAGTTGCTGTGTTCCTATTTTTTTATCAAAAGTTTCTTTCAGGGTGAAGATATGTCTAATGCTCCTTTTAGAGTGTTGTTTCTTTCTTTAGTTCTCTATTTACCCAATCTGCAACCCCCATAAATAAAGCCAAATTATATGTATCTTGGTTTGACCTGGGTTGACCAGCTAGACCAGATCAACAGCTGAAATCTTCTTTTAGGTCCAATCCAATAAAAAGTAAAAACATAAAGACTTCCTTTTAAACAGTAACTATAAGAGGCTTCATATTTCCGCAATTTTCAAGAAAAATTAATTTTCTTGATAGGCTCATCATTGTGACCTAGGTTATGGTTCTCTCTTTCTAGTAAACAACTGCTTAACACAACAGAATCAGGGACAAATAGAACCAGCCATCCATTTCTGGAACTCTTCATAACCATCTGATTTGCATTGCTGTTAATTTAGAAACAGCATTTACAGAACATTGAAATTTTTTCATCTTGGCGAACAGTTTATTTCTGTCCTAGGGGCATGTATCCCTTGTATTTAAGAGAAATTACATCAACTATTTCTGGTGCTTTTAATCACCTTCAGAATTTCTATGCAAGCCTCAAGCATACAATGCGATCTGTTTGTAATCACCCTAACAAGATGATATTCAAGAAAATGTGCATAAAATAACACATGATTATCAACAAGTAAATATCTCTAGTTCTTTGAGTGAATCTTGTCTTCCATTTTGTTTTAGTTCCAACAAAATGAAACACAGTGCATATTTATCAAAAAAAAAAAAATTTAAAACACCGTGCATGAAACTGGTTTTCATGAATGAAGCCAAGTAAACACAAACCAAACAAAATCAACAAAAGTTAAAAGAGAACATGCATATTTACAAATTCATAGTATCACACAATCAAAGATAGTGTATCTGAAAAACAAAGAGCACTTGGACAAGCTATGAAGACGAAAATTTCAACCTTATCCCTACAGGTTAAAAAAAAAAAAAAGAAAAACTAAAATTCCACATCACAATTCAACTTATGTGGCAATTTTTGCTAATTTAACAGTAAAAAGAAGAGATTGAGGGATAATAGATTACCCAAGGAGAAAAACATATTGCCCAGTCAAGTTGTCAATATTTCTTGTCCTCTGCAACAAGACCAGCTGAGGAAGTATGGCAACAGCTTCCAAATATAAGGAGAATGTCCACATCACCTGCTCCATTAAATCAAGCAGAAGTACTTCAAAAGTAGAAGATACGGCAGAAAGAGCAGTAGAACTATATCATGATTTACAAGTAACAAAATTTAAATAATAATTATTATAGCAACATAGGTTTAATAACAAAAACGTCTACGGCATAAGAACCAGCGGTCACAGTATAAATTTACTGTATAAAAAGAGTCAAATGTATTGACATGCATACCTCTTTCAAATTGAACTTCTCATTTATAACTAGAGCCAAAAACAAACAAGGCAGCACAAGGAAATAATGGCGAAAGGTGTCTTGGTCTTTATCATAAGATCTGCGGACAATCTTGTGATGCCTTATGTACCATACAATTGAGAAAGAGCTTCCCAAGAATATTAACTTCATCACAGTATTATAAAGTGAGATGTAATCCGTAAATATATCCAAGTAGCGAGTTGCAAAGACAAGAGCATAGAGCTCTTGAGTCTTCAGCGAAATGCCTGCATACAACAAAGGAAGTTCAAAATTACAAAATGACTTTGACAGAACTAAATTTTTTTGACAGAACTGAAAACAGCTAATTACAGCCATTACTCACAAACCAATTACTCACAAACCAACCACATTAATGTAATGCAAAATTGCATTCAGATCATAATATATAGAGCTAAACAAAACTTAACAATAGACAGCATAATTTGTTACAAAAATGGTGCACAAAGATATATGACAATCGATAACATAATATATATCTATATATGTGTACACTTGCAAGGAATCACTAATACAACTTGTCTGAAATGTAAGTTAATCACAACACAGAGAAAGAGAGAGAGAAGTGGTGCACTCCCTTTACATAGCTTAAATTATGATTGGGTAGAAATTTCTTCTCTAGAACTCAGGTTTGCAGTGGCTTTAACATTAGGTTGTCAAATTGGAACCTCAAGTTGTCCAATTAAAATGAAATAAACCAATTGTTTGTGTCTTTTTTTTGTTTGTGTTTGCATCTGTGTATGATGTTCAAGATAGTCTTATCCTAGTTACATGGGGTCAATTATATGATGCTTCTTCCCATTCAGCTCTACCAAGGACAATTTTGTCCTTTGAATCATATGCATCGCGCCTTTGATGAATAATCAAAGCCTTGCATGCATCATGTTTTTTGCCTTTCTCTAGACTTGTAGATGCACTTGCACCAAATAAATAACATCCTAAGAAGCATGAATGCTTCTAAGAAGGTGACGTGTCTGTGTCCCATATATGTTGGACACTTACACTCATTAAGCACTTCCAAACACATGTTAGACACACATCCAAATATATCATATTATTATCAAATTGTTTGGACTAGGGATAAATAACTTAGGATCTAATAATAAAAGAAAAATAAAGTAGTTTTGTACCTATTAATTCATCCACCTTTAAACTTTAGAAATTAGTGTTATATTGTATAATTTATTTTATTTGGAATGAAATATTCATATAATGACATATAATAAATATATAAAATCCTATATTTTGTGGCTCTCTCCCACATATAGTGTCTTGCAATTTTTGAAAATTGTTATGTCAATGTGTCTTGTGTCGTGTCACATGTCCATGTAGCTCACATCAATAGCCATTACCCTGCACTTGTATGACCAAAGCATATTAACTAACCTTCATTGAATAGGCTTCAATTCATATTCCCTCTAACTTCTCATTAATGCATTCTTTAGAATTCTTATTAGTTATTATCGTGCCATTATCGAACTCAAAATAATCATTCTCTCACACTCATTTCATGGATATGCTTCTTGGCTCTCAACCAATCCATGTCACAAAACCATGTCGGCATTTAACAAGTAATTAATATGGATTCATTGATATGAATTTCCTGTGGTGTTGTTTGGTTGATTCATTTAATCACACAATTTAAACTGCAAGCATAAAAAAAATAAATTAAGCACAAATAACAAGACTCCAGATTTTTAGCGTGGAAACCTGAACTTAAAAAATCACGAGATCTTGTCCAGCCAACCAATCCAAAATCACGAAGAACCAAAAGACAAGTTCCAATTCCAACTTAGAAACCACCACTAACTGAATCCAAGATGTTGAACACTTGAACTAGCTAGGGTGCTCGCTGTACCAACTGAATCCACCATCTTTGTTTTCAATAAATGATTTGAGTATTGAATCCACAATACCTCTGGAATCTATCACAAACTGAACATGATCCATCAACCAACCTTCTGAATCCACCGAAGCGCTCATCAATGTATGAACAATGATGTAAACAATCACTTAAGAGACTAATCACCTTTTTGAGGCAAATAAGCTCATTGAAAACTTGTACTTCAAGAAATGATTGAGTATTGAATCCAGTAGCACAATAGCATAGGCTCTCCTCGTGTCCTCCAAGCTTGTTTTTGTCCTCCCCTAGGGTCTTATTTATAGTTAAGGTGTCCTAAGATGACTCAAAACACCTTTTTGATGCATCTCCATGTGATAAACTGATTTATATCATGCAAAATGGTGCCTCCCGCTCAAGCCTGCAAAACCCCACTCAAGCATGCTTCAAATTGAGCATTCTGGTCATACCTCGCTCAAGCGCACTTTTTACAAAAAATACCAATTATGTCCTCTGGCACAATGCAAACTTGTACCCTGGTGCATTGCAGATGTGTACTCAACATTTATTTGACTTGTTTGCACTCCAAGTACATACCAAAAAATACTCCAAGCCCAAGTCTAATTCCACTTCCTAACATGACTATAAGTGAACTTAATTACAACTCAAATAGGCAATTACAAATTAAACAGGTTTTGCCTTAGGGGATTGACAAACCTACCTAAAATAGAAATCTTCCACTAACAAAGGCCAAACTAATGATACTAAAAAAAATCCCTATCTACAATTCTGTAAATTGATTCTTTCCTTGTGCTTTCTTGCTACACCCATTGCATTGCAGGAAGTACTTCACATGCCAAACTAATCTTGTGCTCTCTCTCTCTCTCTCTCTCCATCCCCTTGCAGATAGCTATTCAAGAGGATCACTCTTGCATGATTACCAAACTAAAAAAGAATGGATTTGTTGAGATCAAAGCAACAAGAGTGGACAGTGATAATCCCAATAGCTGGTGAGTGAACTCACAATTTTTTCTAATTTCAGCTCACAAATCAGAGAGTAAGGGTATGTTTGGTTTGAATTTCTAGAGTGATTTTGGGAAAAAAATTTTAGAAAATTTGTTTGGTTTGTAAATTTTCCAAAATAATTTTTAAAATCACTTTCTCTTTCTTATCTATCAATCAATCACTTTTTCTCTCTCCTCTCTCATTCTCAATCACTTTTTCTCTCACACACATCTACTCAATTATAACAAAATATCAAATCATTACAAACTCCCAAACTCCAAAACTACTTTCAAAATACACAACCAAACAAACCAAAAAAATTTCTAAACTCTCTTCCCAAAACAATTTTCAAAAACTACCCTCCCAAAAACAAACCAAACAAGCCCTAAGTTTTTCAATTGAAGGGTGATTCTTTGGGAGGCACTCAATGGACATATAATGAAGAAAGTTATGGGGCAATAATTGAAGTGGAAAATGAAATGGAGATGACAATTGGGGTCAAATCCAAAGGTGCTGATGGTGTAGAATGTTGATGGGGGTGTTGAGGTGTAGAATGTTGATGGGGTGTTGAGGTGGAGAATGTTGACTGTGATGTGAGGTGGAGAATGTTGACTATGATGGGTTTGGTGGTGGTGGTGGTGGTGGTAGTGGTGCTGCTGTCTAGAGATGGTAGAACCTAGGGTGCTTGGCAGCAGAGGTGTGAGGATGCAGAGCAGTTGGAGCTGTGGTCATGTTACAGTGACCAGAAGTGCTGGGTTTCCACTTTCACTCTTCTCTGGTTTCCTTTCTCACATATTCTCAATATCTAATCAATAATTTATTAAAAAAAAAAAAAAACAAAAAAGAAAAAAGAAAAAAACAAAAAGGAAAAGAGTGGTGTTATGTAAGCTTCAACCTCTATCAGTGCTAAGTCAATATGCGCACAGAGAGAGAGAGGGAGAGGGAGAGAGAGAGCATATCAAACGCTCTTTAAGTATACCAGTACGTGGTATGAAGAGTTATATGAAATAATTAATTTTGGAAGTGTGTTAAAAAGAAATTTTAAGTTAAATCAAACCAAGCCAAGCCAAGCCAAGCCAAGCCTTGCCTTAAGTCCCATGGGATCGGCTACATGAATCCTTCTTCTCTACTCGACTCTATCAAAGGCCATTTGGTTAGTCAAATTAAGGAGATTCATATATCTATTTACTATACTAGCGCACGTCAATCTAAGTTTGTCCTTCCCCTACCACTTCCCTTTACTGTCACTATATCGTATCTCTTCACTACTGCCTCTGTTGGTCTCCGTTGTATATAACCAAACTATCTTAATCTATTCTCTCTCAGCTTATTTTCTATCGGTGCTACTCTTACCCATTCATGAATATACTCATTCTTAACTCTGTCTTTTCTAGTCTTGCCACGCATCCACCTTAGCATTCTCATCTTAACAACACTCATCTTATCTACATGTTGTTTCTTAGTTGCCCAACATTCCGTCCCATACAACATCACTGGTCTAATAGCCGTTCTATAGAACTTTCTTTTTAATCTAATGGATACTCGTTTATCGCAAAGTATTCTAAACGCACTCCTCTACTTAAGCCACCCTGCCTTAATTTTATGGATCACATCTTCTCCAACCTCTCTAGCCGTAGTGATAATCGATCCTAAATAACAAAAATGTTCACTCTTAGGTAATCCTTGATTCTCAATCTTTACTTATTCTCTGTTTCCATTGTTACTATTACTAAAATTTCTCTCCATGTACTTCGTCGTAGTTCTGCTTATCCTAAATTTTTTAGATTCAAGTGTTTCTCTCCAAGTCTCCAACTTAGTGTTAACTCCTCTAGTCTCATCCACTAACACGATATCATCTGCAAAAAGCATACACAATGGCACATCATCCTGAATATTTCTCGTCAACTCATCCATAACTAAAGCCAAAAAATAAGGACTTAAGGTTGATCTTTGGTATAACCCTAACTTAAGTTTCAATTATAATTTCTCCTTGATTTGACAAGCATATTTGTTAGTAGTATTGGAAGCAATTCTCTGTTTCATTCAAACCCTTTTGATTTCACATTTGAAATGCTCTTCATTCTTCACCTCCCTATTTTTCTAATATTGGATCCAACGTATCACTCTTCAACAAATCTACACTCCATGCCACTAAAGAGTAAATTACAATATTCACAAAACTCAACAATAGGTCGTCAAGAGCACAGCAAACGTAGGGTTGATGGTCAGTCAAATCTGGTATGGACCATATAAATGGATGATAGATAGAGTCAATGACTCAACAACTCATTAAGGGATCACTCATCTAGTTCCTTTGGGAAAGATAATTATACCCATTGCAAGCAGCATAATTGTACTATCTCCCATCAACCAGTTGATGTT